CACTCATTCATTTACAACCTCCAAAACATGAATTCTGATCGAAATTAAACATTCTCGCCCATGGGCCACTGTTCGCCCATGGGCCTGCCCATGGGCGAGCGAGTTTAAATTTAAAGTTTTCGAAAGAATTTTTTTCATTTTTCATCCTTGGCATATATTCATAACAACTGCATGTTTAATTAGGTCAAATCCCTTGTCAGAAAGTGCCCACAGTGCGGAGAGTTTCTGGACTTTGTGAGTCCAGAATTAAATTGTGACGTGTATCACAGAGTGATACACTCGCATATGCCGATAATTTTACAAATACGGACACCGGCACTAACACATATGCACTCTCAAACCGTTTTACTATAACACTTAAGAGTCGACTAACGGGATGGGCTCGCTGACTTATATTCATATTCATCCACATATGGGCCCTGCATGGTAGAGTGGTGTGTTTATTCATATACAACCTAACGTACATACATGTACATGTATAACCACACAGTTCGGTCACGATTATCCGTCGAAACAGATTTCATTGGGTGTAAATGCAAACTTGTACACACAGGCCTGTCACTTCATGTAAATATGTAGCAATACAAGTGTATGGGCGTCATGTTTGTCGGCTCCTTGACCGGCTGCTTCCTGGACTTTATGTAAAGCAAAACTTTACAGCCTCGTGAGCCTGAACTCCACTTGACGGGAGGGTGATGCACACACCCATTCAGAATAAGTCACTAGACATGGCCTTTACTTGTTGCAGCAATGTGGCTACTTGTTGGTAGGACTGGCTTGTGTGTCTGTATGTGTGCGTGTGCGAGTGCGTGTGCGCGTTGAATTAGTCAGGGGCGTCAGTTACCTATATTGATAACCCACGGGGCACATACAGTCCTCATCAATTTTGCTTTGACGTCAAACGCTAGGAACCACAAATACACTTGATACGTTTGTTGGCGCCTGGCGCAAGGGATGTGACTCCACACAATGGCTAGCGTTGCCTTATACAACTTGCCTAACCGTGTTCAGTTAGAGTATCCGTGTTTTATACGAAAATTGAAAAGCAAATATTTTTTGTGAATCTTAATTGTTTTACGTGTGATTGATTTATAATATATATCAACAACGGCAGTTGTTTTTACATGTAGTGTCTCGTTGTATTAGTGGCGAAATCTCGTCGAACTTATAGTCAACCTTCCGAACCGTACCCTCTCTAATGTGGCTTCATGTTTTGTGATATAAAGCAAGGTTAAAATCAACATATCCGGAAGGAAGTGATGAAGCAATATGCGAGTAAATTCGGTCATCTTGTGACACACTAACACATTCACCTGACTCTGACACCGTCAACGTCATCTGACGTCACGTTCAGGATATAGTGTCAACAGGTGCAGAGACAGACATGTGATACAGGAATTCATATACTGTCATACTGGCACATGGACAAGCGGAAACAATCACGTATCTGTTCAAGAAAGGAAGTTCAGACAACCAACAGTTTGATACTTCAAACCCTACATTCTAGGCATATATATAACCTATACAACTGTAACAATAGTGCCCATCATAAAGGTTGTATCACAATAGGATAATCTAGTACAAATTTGTTATACATGCGAATTAAAACATAAGGGACAAAAATAATGAATCGCTGTCGCTGTATCGTCTTGGTTCGGTGACCATACAACACTGATCATTAAAATTTAGTTTTGTCATTGAGCTACCTTCGTCCAAGCCTTGTTCCCGTCTTCTCTTAACATTTCCATTCTTTTTGTATGCAGAATGAGTGAGTGAGTTCAGTTTTACTCCACACTCAGCAATATTCCAGCTATATCGCGCCGCCTGTAAATAATCGAGTCTGGACTAGACAACCCAGTGTTCAACAGTATAAGCATCGATCTACGCAATTGGGATACGATGACATATGTCAACCAAGTCAGAGCGCCTGGCCACCCGAGCGGGTTAATCACCTCTTACGACAAGCATGGGGTCAATTCTAACCCGGATCTTCATGGGTCGTATGCAGAATGAAGAAAAAAAAAACATCAATGTATCTGTGTTGTCTTACTAATTTCCCGAGTTGATAACAATTGTATTGTATTAGATTTATTTTGAATAACAGGGAAGTTACATTTAGCTATTGAGCACATGAGCAGAAGTACGAGTGTCCAGTAGCATAGACCAAAGCTTGTCATGTTGATATTGGCTTCTTCGGCTTGTCGGGAAGATGGTCTGTGTGTATAGTCTGTATGTATAGCACATGACCAGAGGTACGGGTGTCCACTAGCATAGACCAAAGCTTGTCATGTTGATATTGGCTTCTTCGGCTTGTCGGGAAGATGGTCTGTGTGTATAGTCTGTATGTATAGCACATGACCAGAGGTACGGGTGTCCACTAGCATAGACCAAAGCTTGTCATGTTGATATTGGCTTCTTCGGCTTGTCGGGAAGATGGTCTGTATGTATAGTCTGTAAGGCAGAAAAGCAGTTTCATGTTGTAAGATATATATTAACTGTTGTGTATTTATTATATGGAGTTTTTGACACAATACTGAGACATATGACTGAACTGTGTACATATTTTGACAAAATACACACATGCTGTTATGATTAATTATAATACTGTTATACTATACTGAGTTATTGTTGTTGATAGAACGGATAAAAAACGCCTGTGAATAATGAAACTAGTGACAAAATTGCAAAACACCTGTGATTTCATTTTGCACATGTACGTAACGTGTCGAAACTAAGAAACTGAAAAGTCACGCTGTGCAGAAGGACTTCTGTGGGAAAACCGTCCGCGAGTGCAACAAGTGTGGGGGTGGGACAATCACTGCTTGGGTGGGACGGTCGCTGCGGGGGCGGTGCACTACGTGTGCCGTGCTATATCGATGACATTGCAATATGTGCAGGTCAGGTATAATGTCTGGGATTGCTTGAGTACACATGATACGATGTGCTGTACAGGATCTTGTTTGTCGTTATCACCATGTGACAGTTTGCACTATCTACTTCCGCGGAATGTAAGATGTGACAAATCGTTGTATTGAATTAAATACTGCTTGATCTGGTAAGACATGAGAGACAATGAAACCATGGCTGTACAGAAGAAGTAACTGAGATTTATGTAACTTTTCTTTGAAAGTTGAATGTGACTAGACGCATACTTTGCATGGGATATCGGGACTATTTTACTTTAGTTAAATATTTATTGTATTTATTCAGTTTTAATGATTTCTGAACAGAACTTCGCGGTGTCATCAGTATCTGAGAAACACTATTTCGAGCTCCAAAAAGGTCCAGATTAACTCATGTTTGTTCAAGCCGACCAGTGAGTCGCAGACCAGGTTATTGCACTTTAACGTACATACATGCATATGTGTGTTTGTGTGTGCGTGCGTGCGCGGGCGTATGTGTTTGCATGCGTATATGCTTGTGTGTGTAAGTGCGTGAAGGACTTGATCTCGTCACTATCATGGCTGGAGTAATGCCGATGTGACTTCAAGCCCAACTCACATCAACTCAAGTGGGTGAAGATTTTGTGTTTTGTCAAATCAAATCAAATCAAAAAGGTTTATTGTACAGAAGGCCTCTGGCCCATATACAAGAGAGTATGTACACATTATACTGTTACACACAGGAAGTAACACGTTCTTTAAACAGTTCATTTCTTTTTAACTAGTGCATGTTTAATATATAGTGAAAGGTTTAATATCTAGAATTCGTTCTTAGTCGTTAAAATATATACGACAGCTTTCAATGGCGGCATCCCTATCAAATATTCTTAAATATATTTGTTTCGAAGCTCACTATGAAATGGACAGGCGAACACAAAGTGAATTTCATTTTCTATTTCTATATCGCATAACTGACAGATTCGTTTTGATTTTGCAATGGAATGTTTTCTTCCTTCATTTACAAAAAGATCTAACAAAATAGCCGATATCTAATAAAATGTTTTCTTAAAGTTTCCGTCGTGAGTATTGATATATAAATTTCTGGTTGAAGTAAGGTCTTGAAAGTTCTATAATAAGCATATCGTGAACTTTCTTCTAAAGTGGAATGCCATTCCTGGTAAAACATATTAACAGACCGAGTTCTAAATTCTTTAAGAAACATGCCCTCACTTCCAACAGACTGACATAACCATATAAAACCATGGGAAAATAGAAGATTCCTTATATGCGATACCCATGTAATTTTCCCCATGTTATCTAAATGTAAAAGCATGTTATAAGCTACTTTGGGAGACGTTGCTCGTGCATATGAAGAAGTTTGAACCAATATTTTAAACATCCCATTTGGGAATTAATATATAATGAGTATCTACCACATTCACCATATACCATGCAATTTGGTGTAGAGGATCCAACAAAACGAATTTTTTTACATGTTAATAAGTGGACCTTCTCCAAACAGTCATACCGTTGAAATCCCCATACTTCAGATCCATATAATAACATTGGTTGTATCTGGATATCAAAGAGCTTAAAGAATATATTAGGTGACATGGTTCCAACTTTGTGGACAATAGACATTACACTTATTAAAGCTTTCTTTGCACGCAATGGTAAATCTTTGGTACATTTTTTCAAGTTCATTGTGTGTGAAAACCATATTCCTAAAATGAATAAATATAAATATGTTTTGTCTAATTGTGCTTGTTCGGTATTGTAGTGCTCGTTAATCATGTAGTCACAAAACATAATTCAAACAAAAACAGCACCATATTTTTCCATATCTTGGTACAACGCGACCGGGCATCGAACCACGCACCTTCCTCTCCGGGCTGACACGCTATCAACAGTGTCGTCAACATCGTGTTGTATGCCAACAACCACTGACAGAGGTATGACCAGGTTGAGGTATAAATAAGTGTACATGTGAGTTGAATTGTCTTGTTAAACACCGCTACCGAACTGATGAACGTAGAAAACCCCATCATCATCATCATCATTATCCTCCTCTTCATCATCATCATCATCATCATCATCATCACTAGTTTCGGCTGTCAATATGAACACCATTTACATATATAATTTTGAAAAACCCTGTGTTGATTGTTACGACGCAGCAGTGCAAATGACTGATATCAAGTCCAAGCGAGTCCATGGGTTTTCCACAACGGGATGTGCGTCAGAGCACCGACCAATCCTTGATTTCCATATGCTCATATCTAACACAATAACAGTTCTCTAGATGACACTCGGTCTCGTCTAGTTACACAGATACATGCAACATGTAACATGCTCTATAAGTAATCCGTTTCATGCATGACGCAGAAGGGATACTCGTATCTACCTCACCCCGTCCAAGGTCAGCTATACAGTTTGGCAACAGTGAGTCTTATCGGGCTCTTCCATCAGACAGACCACTCACACGGCGACGGGCTCAGTCAGGACTTCACTTACAGCTATCAACATGGGCGAGATGGGTTGTGGACAAGATAGGTACTATGATAAACCTACGCGGAGCTGTACCCACTGCTCTATTCTATGTGACGATATGGATATTCAGGACACTCGAGACCAGTGCATCAAGTACTGCTTTGGTAAGAATACCAATGTTTGAGTACATAAAATACAATTAAGATCACAAAAATGTATACTGGAAATTCCTGAAACCTTAGCACCACGCTTCTGATTGCATCGTCTTAACATGCTATGTCGTCTCTCTTATTAAGGGCTATGTTAATACTTGGTTTATTTCGGAGTTAATGCTCGTATTAGTATAAATAGTGTAAAACAAAGGCGCATATTATTCACAGGAATGCATTACATGTTATATAATTTATATGTACGTAGGAGATCCTGTGTAATTTGAAGTGATGCGTGTATCGGAGTGGACCAGTGCTACATTTCAGTTAAATACCGATAAATTGAGCTCTTTGCCATCGATCGCCATGTTTTGGTTCCGTTAATACCATAATCTGCGTATATAATATTTCTAATTCTTAGTTCCCAACTCTTTTCCACTTTTCAAGCCAAGTTGAAATATTTCCTAACTTTATCAGCAACTTGCAATGGTTTGTTTGGCGACTAGTTGCTTGTATGAATCCGGATTGGTATTTGTGTCGGAGTCTTCGACCGGGGTGTCAGTCTGGTGTGTTTGTTTCGTCGCGTGTCGTGGTACCAAGGCGGAGCGTGGGTCGTAGAAAATAGCTTATTGTTTGGTTTGTCTGATCCAACGATTTGATGACGCTCAACAAGCAATTGATGTATTCATTCGCGGTCTAAAACGCTCTCTCTGTTGACCTGTGTTAGAGATGCCTGTCGAGCGAAATGTTTTTGTTTGAAAGCTGACGAATCACGTGACTGAGAGAAGATCGGCTGGGTGAATACTTCGTCATTGTATTTGTGCAGATCTCGCAACATTGAAAGTTATTCAAGATGAGTCATGAAACGATGACTTCGTGGGGGTACGTGCTTGACTCTGTGGTTGCTGTTTAGGGCGAAACAGAGTAGTCCAGTGGACAGCGCGTAACACGTGTAGTCTAGGTTCGAGTCCACTCGGTACTTGTTCGCGATTCTGATTCCGGTTTCGCCCCGAGTGAGGTTTTAGTTATGTCAGCACTGTACCAGTCCTCATAGGTTTTGGCTAAGTGGTTAATATCTAAGACCAACATTACTTCGGGATTCCCTCCCACATCGAACTGACATGCCGTGATGTAAATTTAATATTGTTCGAACGGCGTTAAACTCAACTCACTCACTCACCCAAGATACACCCACTCACTCACCCATCCACTCACTCACTCATTTGTGCCACCCACCCATCCGCTCACTCACTCACTCACTCACCCATCCACTCACTCACTCACTCACTTGTGCCACCCACCCATCCGCTCACTTACTGACTCACCCACCCACCCACCCACCCACCCACTCACTCACTTAAGATACACCCACTCACTCACCCAAGGTACACTCACTCACTCAGCCTATTTGTTCCTCGTCTATCTATACTATTCACGTATAGGCATACTGACAAAATGATGCTATTTCCATGTGATAAATTCAGGTTGATATTGCATAGGCTGATAGGAAACAGAGCCATTCCTTGACCTTGTATAACGAATCCTTGAATGCCATGTTAACTAATCGCTACAGCCCACGATTTCACCCAGGTTGTGCAATAGAAGTGTGAGTTACCCGTGGGCGTTAGTTGGACGGGTTAAAGTCAATAGACACAACACAAAGGCTGATCGTGACTACTCCTTGCCTCGAGTATATTTATAAACTGACACGTCAACCACAATCCCCGGTGTGAAGCGTGCCCGGTATCTGCAACTGAGGACTATATAGTTATGCGGTAGTATGCACGACCTTGTGGACACAATGTGTTTGTAACGTTCATGAAACTTCCTTGTCACGACTTCCTTTCATGCGAACGCTGATTTTTGAAACCATCAGTCTTCTTTAACTAAATAGAAATTATAAATGCCGTGCATTTTAACGAACCGATACCTTAACCCCCATCTCATACAATAATACATTTATCCGTGTATCTCTGCATGTGAGTGAGTGAGTTTAGTTTTACGCCGCACTCAGCAATATTCCAGCTATTGGGCGGCGGTCTGTAAATAATAGAGTCTGGACCAGACAATCCAGTGATTAACAGCATGAGCACCGATCTGCGCAATTGGGAACTGATGACATGTGTCAACAAAGTCAGCGAGCCTGACCTCCCGATCCCGTTAGTCGCCTCTTACGACAAGCATAGTCGCCTTTTGTGGCATGAATGGGTTGCTGAAGACCTATTCTACCCTGGATCTTCATGTATGTATGTATGTATGTATGTATGTATGTATGTATGTATGTATGTATGTATGTATGTATGTATGTATGTATGTATGTATGTATGTATGTATGTATGTATGTATGTATGTATGTATGTATGTATGTATGTATGTATGTATGTATGTATGTATGTATGTATGTATGTATGTATGTATGTATGTATGTATGTATGTGTGCGCGCGTGCGTGCGTGCGTGCGTGCGCGCGTACGCGCGTACGTGTGTGTGAATAGATGGGTGGTTGTGCGTGAGGGCGTGCGTTCGCACGTGTACGTACGTATGCGTTTTATAAGCACACTAAATATCCTTTATATAGATACTGGCACATGTTAGTGTATATAGTGTATAGTTTTATAAACAGTTCTATAAATTACTGTACTAATAGCGTCTGACCGTTTACCTTCATATTGTACCAGATTATATGCAGACTACATCAACCACGACCTCTGAGACGTCGACACATCAAGCGGTGACAGATCAAGTTCCAGTAATAGTCATATGTGCGGTGCTGTTTCTCATCACGATCCTGATCTTGGCCAGCATCATCTACTGCCACAGGAAGAAGATGGTAGACAGGTTCAAGAGACTAGACTGTTGCAGAGAGAGATCCCAGCCTCATGCGCAGGAAACCGGACGTGAGATGGATAGCTTCCGGCATGCACAGGAAACCAGACAGGACCCAGCCAAGCCGGAAGCTCACAGTACGCATGTAATCGGGTGTTTAAACTCGTATAGTCTCAGTAGAACACACACGTCACTGATGACGTCAGCTGGTCGGAATAGCGCATGGTGTGCAAGAATTGACTTTCAATGACTTTCTGAATAGCTTAAAAATCTTTCCTTGTTCATACTAGTACTTCAAATTGTTATGCAAGTTATATCAGTTCGAAATTTAAAATATAGTTCGTCCGTTTGACAGACATAAGTTAATGACCATGCCAACTCGTTTGTCCTTTCAAATCTCATAGCTTCAGAGAAGATCCGAAACACGACATCGGATGAGATTCTATTGAACATAGACTAGTTCTCGAACTGCAGGGTTGCACGGATTTAGAGTAATTAGTCTAACCGTTGCTGAGTCAGGTGTCAGTTCTTCGTTCATAATTTATTCAGCTCAATTTGATCTTTTACGCCCAATGAAACAAGTTTTGTCGGATAATGGAGACTGATTATTCTCTGTGGTTGCTATGCCATTCATCGACTTAAGCTTGTAGGGTTTTTCTATTTTCATCAATGTTCCATGAGGAGTAGGAGAAGCCATGACAACAACAAATTTCGTCTTACAAAGCTTTGTACACACGTACAATTTCCAGCCGATTTCTGGCGTCCCCGCCGTGATGTTGCTGGAATGCTGCTAAAAGCGGTAAAACTAAATTTACTGAGTGTGTAATTTCCATTTGTAGGCCTGCTTCCTAGCGGACATGATGCTTTTCCCGAGATGCCACAGCCGAGGTGAGGTCGAACTCCCTGCAGTGCGGCCCGAATAACGAAAATGGTTCTACTCTCTGCCCAGACTACATTGAAACCCTTGCTCAACAACGACGGATACGTGGTATTCCCAGCGAACACCTCATGACGGCAAACCATTGCCACGACAGTACTGCAGGCATGCTGCAACTGGTTCCCATACACTGGGTCACCTTCTATGAAGGTAACGTGTATTGTACAACGTGATTGTGAGCCACATGAACACAGTTGCTGTTTGTGATATTCCGTATACCATCACACTAAGGCGTGATGGACCAGGATGAAGAAGCAGCGTCTTAGCCTAACATAGGTTGGATGTTTATAAGGGTTGTTACCCATTGAGTTGGTGCGGGACACCGACTTCAGCGTGAGGGACTTTCCCAGGAGTGATGTCTCCGTGTGATGCTGGTCCGTTACATGGTGTATGTTATAAATATAATCATGCTTTTATTGTTTCATATAGCTGTCCAAATATGGCACAGCAAACGAGGACATTTTTTATTTCGTGTTTTGGAAAGACTTTTTGCTCTGAAATCTAGTTGTTAATCTATGCCAATATGTTTGTATTTCAATGATTTTGTGTTAAGAACCCAAACTATGCTATTTGTCATGTAGATTGTTTACCAGTACTTGCTGAAGATGATGAGTGAGTGAGTATGGTTTAACGCCGCCTTTAGCAATATTCCAGCAACATCGCGGAGGGGGACACCAGAAATGGCTTTCCCACATTGTAAACATGTAGGGAATCGAACCCTGGTGTTCGGCGTGACGAGCGCAAGCCCTAACCACTACGCTACCCCACGGCCCCTGCTACTGATGAGAAGGATGGGCCATAAGTGTTTCTCCATTACCATGGCGGAAGCAGTTTTAAACTTGAGAGTTGGACGGACGAACATTAACATACCTGATGTTTTCTAAAGTATCTTTCATAGCCATGGATCCGGGTTGGAATATTGATCTTCAGTAACCCATGCTTGTCGTAAGAGGATCGGGTGGTCAGACTCACTGACTTGGTTGACACATGTCATTCCCAATTGCGTAGATCGATGCTCATGCTGTTGATCACTGGATTGTCTGGTCCAGACTCGATTATTTACAGACCGCCGCCATAGAGCTGGAATATTGGCGTAAAACTAAACTCACTCACTCACTCACTCACTCTAGCCAGATTGTTTCAACCCTGTCGCTACTCCGGGTTCACGACGACCTTCTCCTGTTTCCCCCCTTACAGTTTACAGGACACAGTATAATTCTTACAAGTTTCGTCCAATGCCAAACGTAGTTCTTTAAAATGTTATTTCTTATACATTGTATTACTGTATTATTGTATTGCATTTTGGTATGTTTGAATGTCATTTTGTACATGTTTCATGGTCATTTTGAGTGCCCAAAGACATCTATTGCCAATATTTATCATTTGAATATTTTTGTATTGATATCCCGATGACACACCAAATAAAACTACTGAAGAATCCTGCATCTTCATGTTGTTTATCTGAACCAAGACGCACACCTGTGTGCATTTCAGCATAATTTACGACCCGGCAGATAGATGCCAGTTGGTATGTCAAGCATGTCGTGACATAGTCTGTCTCACAGTCCATGAACTGCATTATTTCCCCTACTGCCTAGCCCTCCCTGCAATGCTAAAACCCTAAATGAAGCAAATCTATATTTCCCTAGGTTCAGGCTGAATCGCTGGTCTCCTTGGGGTTCCTTTTCACTTTAGATGGGTTTATTTATGACAATCAAAATTCTATGCATTCAGAGACTAAGTCTAGTCGTCATAGTATCGGATCACAATAGGTTAACATCCAACAGTGTATAGCTTTCTAATTCTGTCTGATTGCGGTCATTCCGCTTCATTTTTGCTCATGCTATTGATCTCTATTTTTCTGTACCAGCCAAGTATTTACCGACCTTTGTGACCTCGTCAAACACGGTAGTATGTTTTACGTGCAGTACGTACACTGGGGCAAACATCCAGGAAGTTTGTCGGCGTAAACAACATGCACACCAATGATATATGATCCCTGTATTGCGTCAGTGCTAACTTCCCCTTTATATAATACATGTCTCCGTTGATAACTATATACGCAAATGTTACTGTTATCTAATTCTTGAATTGTATTGCCATACATGGCGGCAGCGAATTTAACATTGTACACAACTAAACAATGTGTGTTCCCCTCTCAAGCATGACTCACTCGTTGACCTACATGTGCAAGGTATAGAAATCCCCGAACCCCCCGTAGTGTTCCTGGAGAGAAATCACTAGGCTGTCGGTACGGTATATATTCTATGACAAAGTGGATTCTGTTTTCAAAACAGGGAATGAAATCCTTAAGTTCAACAGCAATACCTCCACCCTTAAGCTACCATGTGCTTTGATCTTCGACTCTCAGATATAAATAAACAGCTTGGGGATTTCCCGTTTGACGTAGGGGGCGAGTGGGTGAAAAATGAACCCCACATGTTGCATTAGGGAGTGGTCCGGTATGTAGCCTGCGTTGTAGACTTCATTCCAACATAACTGTTTTCGAAGCGGATCCTTGTACACGTTGGGGAAAACCAAGATGTTCGGATTTACCCAGTTTCTGGTTGTGTTTTCATTAATATCCGTGGTGACCCCTGGGACATTGGACCGGCCCGTGAAATGTGACCCTGGCATGTACTATGACACTGCTATTGGACGATGTGACGTCTGTGATGTCATATGTGACTATGCCGAGATTCAAGGAACTGTCCAAGAGTGTAGTGATAAGTGTCCTGGTGAGTACCGTTACTCTACACGTCATCAACATCATCAACATTAACAACCACAATGAAACGTATTGAATAGAAGACCACGAAGCCACGTGTCTATAACATGGATACATTTTCTAAATACACGATATTACAATCGATCTACTCTATTTTCAATAGTTTCTACTACCAATATTTAAATACAATTTTCCAGAAAGAACTGTTCACTACAAATGTCTTTATAAATTTTGTTTTGTCATTTTTTCAGGGTATAAAACTACAACCGATAGCAAGTCATTAATATCAACGACTTCCCTACCAGGTAAGTTAAATGTAGTCCTTTATATTGAGAAGTAATGATACTGTACATTGTCCTTGATTTCATCCAATCAACCAACACAAGATCTGACCAATCAGCGCCACAGATACTGACCAGTGTCTATTCTTATTTCGAACTACAGGGCCTCAGCAACAAGATGTCGCGATAACTTAGTGTTTGCATCAATCATAATATCAATCACATTTTTTCTGATCCAGTCACTCAGTATTTACATACCTCTGTCAATTAGCTTAGATTTTGGTTTCGGTGATCAGGTACACGCAACTATGGGTGACATTAGACAGAAGTATTTTATTCAAGAATATACGATATCCAGCACCAGTAAAATACCCTACCTTACTGGCTATTACTCTCATAAATGCTACAAAGGGTTTCAGTGGGTGATCTGGGAGTGCCCATGACAATTTCTCCGCAACGCCTACTCATAATAAATTGCTCTCGGACTTCAAGTTTCTCAACGTTGTAGGCTTGTAGGTTAGTGAAAGTAATTAGTCACGCTCTGTTTAATTTCACATTATTCCATTCTCAGGGTCGCCATCGGTGGACATGAACGGCGTCATGACGTCCACATCATCAACTACGTCATCTTTGGGGGAGACGTCTGTCCAGTCTAGATTGATTATTTTCCTTGTGATAGCCTTATGCGTTGTGACAATCCTGATGTCCACAGCGATAATTCTGCTGGTTGTATGGAAGCTCAGAGGGGACACATCACATCAGAAGACTATCCACAAGCGCATAAACAGGACACCATCTCCTATATATATGAATGGACAAAAGAAAAGGATAGACGGAGATTATGTTTTAAATGGACTGTTGACACGGGACTTTGCAGATGTGTGAATCATTTGGGTGAATGTGACATCGTTTCGGCAAACTGCAGAGACTGGGTCGTGATCACCCGTTGTTGGCTATAACATAGGGCATCTTATATACGTTGTGTTTCCTGTACAGCGCTGCTTGTATATACATTTATTTTTGTAATATTGAACTGTGTCGATGCTCTGATTTTGGGACTTGTTGAATGATTGTTGCCATGTTCAAATATGTTTATTATTGAACGTTCTACACAATAAATATTGACAAAATGATGAATGCTTGACTTTGTGTATGCGAGATGCAAGCGGTGACATCATTCAAACACCAGATCTCAAGATGTCTTACATATATTCCCATATCTGTCATAAACGATTTGAAATAAATTAATAAATGAAATTAAGTTCATACCATTCTTTAAATTCAGAAATTAACTTAAATTAACAGAAATTAAATTATCAGAATATAATTTAAGACCAATTTCATTTTTTCCAACACAAACCTTAAAAAGGGAACGGGTTATATAAAAGTGACAAACAATTTTTTTTGTCACAGAAATCTTGTTAATTTATCAATTGTACGATTCCAGCTATATCATAAACATGTAAAACGAACCCCCATCAAACAGTGATGACACAACATATTTGCGGAAAGGTGAGTGTATCTTGACACCGTTGGCACCATCACAAACACATGCAACGGCAAATCAAGTGTTCACCAGAGTAAACATAGGTATGAAGGGTCCAATTGCATAATTTATGTCACTGATGCGCGAAATGTGGAAATATCAATGAGCTTTCCTGAGACCTTGACTGTTGAAATCGTGATCAAAATATTTGTTTCCGTATCAGTGGTCCGATGGTTAAGAGTGTCCGATTGTCCCTCTCAAGGTGTGACACATACCGATTACACTATATATCTCAGCTTTTATGCATATCGTGCGTATGACGATTTTGAGATTAAAATTACATTATCACATTTTAGCTTCTGTATGTACGTACAAGAACCATTATGAAAATTATTTTTGAGAAGATTCCTAAAGTACCCTTCAATGAAACATTATCCCGATTACAACACGCTATTTTGGGAGAAAAAACGTTAAAAACGTTCAATCAATCAATCTGTTATTCGGTAGAAAGGCCTTCGGCCCACGAACAATGTTAACATATGAAATACATTTATGTGTTGCTGTCAAACAAATGAATTACGCAAAATTAAGGCCTCTTAGCATAATTTGAGAAGGACAGTAAATGAGTTGGATTATCATGTTGAAGATCATAGACCATGACATCTTCATTGATGTACATAGGTATATTTTCAAAGTATTTAACACGTAATTCGTTATATGTTGGACATTTATAAAGAAAATGAAATTCATCCTCTAAATAATTCAATTTACATATCAATTGCAATAGCGATATTGACGTGGAATTCCATCTCGCCTACCAATATTTGTATAAATGGGAAGCTCACCAATTCTTAGTAACGTTATCCCAGGTCTTGCTTCTTTTGATTTTACATATGCGAGATAATCTTCTAAACAGTAAACAGTTTTAATTTTAGAATAAATGTAATGTTGAATATTCATTAATATTAGCCATTATTGATTGAACGTGGCAATTCATTTTCTTTGTTTCAAATTGAATAAAAATACCTCCTTGAATCCAACGTTTAATACAAGTAAAGTTCAAGATTCCCAAAAGGACATGTTTACGTGTGACCTGTTTACGTGTTTCTAAATTTGGCGGGTGATACCGACTTGCGAAGATATTTACAGCCAATCCCATATTGTACAACACAATAGTACGCGCGGTATATATTTTACAGGTCAGCATTATCGTTGTTGATGATAGTCCTCCTATATTCTGTTCACTGAGAAGATCACAAGAACATGGACTGCGACAAGGGCATGTACTACGACCACGGCAGTGACAGCTGCGGGTACTGCTCTCAACTCTGCCACTACGTTGATATCCAGGGCACAAGAGCCGAATGTGAGAAAAACTGTCCAGGTACGTTGTACACTACTTTGCTTGAGCCATGCTGAAAATCCGGTGCTAGATACATAAACATTGTTGATTTCACGTGTATTGACCTTGATCAACGTCAGTTAAAAAAAATCTAACGTGACTTATGTAATCTTAACTTAATCCGCAAACATCTTCTGTCATCACTGTTTGATAGGGATTCGAAAACACATGTTTATGATATAGCTGGATTCGTACAATTGGTATATTAACACAGATTTCTGTGATAATAGAAATAGTTTGTCAGTTTCATATATATCGTCCCCTTGTTAAGGTTTGCCTTAGAAAATATGGGACTGGTCTTACGATTTCTCCGCATCTTACTTAAGTTAATTTCTGAATTTAAAGAATAGTATGAACTGAATTTCATTTTTTAATGTATTTCACATCGTCCTGATTCTGGTTCAGAATTCACCTGACTCAAATACTGCATACACACGAATCACCAAAGTTATAAATTAAATGTACAATAATGTGGTAACATACTCAGATTGCCCCTATTACATATTAGTTCATGTTTATTTGTAAGGAATAACAAGATTGTTCAAGCATTGTGTTACCGGTACCGTGTTACTCAACTTATAATACAGTCATTTCATTAGACTAAGGCTTAGTCTCTGAATATATATAATTTTGATAGTAACAAACAAGCCCATATATATTGAAAAGGAGCCCTAGGGAGACCAGAGATTCAGAACCTGAACCTGAGGAAATCTAGACTTGCTTTATTTAGGGCTTTAGCACTGCAGAGAGGGAAATTAATGTGGTTCAATTTATGTGGCAGTAGGGAAATTAATGTGGTTCAGGGACTGTGAGACAGACTATCATTTCATATTCGTGTCGACATAATCACATAGTGCGGTATCGTGCATCGGTCTGTGGTTAACAATGTGGGAGTGCCCTAGAGAAAAGGCAACTGCTAGAGTACACGTGTTTGTGTTTTAGGGTTCAGTGAGCAGTACGATATCATGATGCGGTCTGTGCTTATACAATGTGGGAGTGTCGCAAGGAACAGACAAAGCAACTGCTGAGTAACAGTGAACTGTTTGTGTTGTGGGATCTGTGCACGGTACAGGATGAAGGGCGTATTCACGTTAAGGTTAATAAAGCTGAAGGTAACTTGCTGACATTACACAAAGATGTAGGATGGTATCACACGGACTAAGACACTATGACTTGACGCCCGCTGAACAGTACTCCAGGTGTATCACGGCGTGTCAGTTTCCGGAGGAAACCCGAAGTGATGTCCGTGTTAGACCTTCAACACTTCGGTTAAAACTCGAGCATGGGTTTGGTGCTGACACATCTAAGAAAATACTCAACACAAGACGATGGAAAATGTTTACTTTCATTGCACATGGTCAAAATGTGTTCTGTGTGTACACTGCTATTTGAACAATTGTTTAAAGTAGACCAAAATACAAATTGCATTTAATCAGTTCAGACTGACAACAAATAAGTGAGGCTCTTGCCTGAACCTTTTTGCTCGTTTGCAATATATTGTAGCACTCAGCAGTAGGTTTATAGCATCGGTCTATTACTAATCGATTCTGGACAAGATAATCCAGTAGTTACCATCATGCCCATCCGATTGCAATTGGGATATGATGACATGGACCGGATGGACCAAATTACCAAGCTGGAACAACCGATCTTGTTAGTCGTCTCTTACTATTAGCATTGGTTGCTGAAGACAAATACGTCGGAAATATGACTGTACAGAATGAATATCTTGTAACATGCCATATTCCTTGTCATTGGAAGACGAGTGGAACATAATATAAGTATCAAGGCAATAGTCACAATGTCACCAAGAATTATCTGATATTTCACAGGTTACCTCCAATCTACTACGGAGTCAGTTGTCACGACGTCAGTCCTAGAAGACAATCCATGGTATACTGTAGCTATTGTCGTCTCGTGTCTCGTGGTCCTCGTCGCTCTGGCTGCCCTCGTGTATAGAGTCATCATACCAGCTGTAGTCAGGAGGCTGAAGAAACCGGACTGCTGTGGGGATGGGACGCCAAGGCAACCCCATACTCAGGAGACAGGACCCCGGGGGTCCAGACAGAAGGGACAGGTACGGCTTCATTTGCACCACCACAGACTGACAGTGTTACACCCGTAGTAATTGGATAAATATTACCTATAATGATTCCAATGAAAATATTAAAGTGAAAATAATAAACACAACTGAGCACTACATTCTACATTAAGAATAGGCGGTAGCTATGAATGCAGCTTCGAATGTTAAGATGCAAAGTGCACCCGTGCATTAATTAAGCACCACCCTATTTTGAAAATAAGATGTGATGCTACAGAAACGTTCGGGTATAGAAGCTTTACCTACTGACAGTTGTACAAACACCATAACCTTTTCTATTCTTTATGAAAGAATATGTTGATGAAAATGTGATGGGACTGATTTTTTACCCAAAATAAGTATTCCTCTCCTGCTCAAACTACACAATTAAATTAAGTTTTGACTAAAAATAACAATTCTGTTATATACCAAGATGACATTTACACATCATATAAGCTTTAATTATGCATAATCAGGAAGAGCCCGAATGTCAAAGATTCAGACCTTTTCCAGCAATTCAGATTGCTAATTGACAAAAACTGAAAAAGGCCACATAAATAAGATTTTGGATTAATTGTTTTATGATTTTGAGTTTATTGTAATGAAGAAACACTGCTCCTTGCCGGATACTGATAATTACAGATAAAATCTGTTTGTTTTGTTTGTAAAGCAACTTTTACTGCATATTTAAAGATTTTCCTTATTTTTTAGTTTGACTGTAACTTTTCCTAAATCTTAGTTTACAAACGAATATATAGGCCACACAACGACCAATTATTACTTTCACTTTTCAAAATAAGGTAACTTGTTTTAGGACAGAAAAACACCTGTTCTAAATAGAGGCAATTATCCTAATTAAAATACATGGTAATTTTTTTATGTTTTCGTTTTTGAAATGTTAAATGCTTGCTCTATCAAATTATGAAGGTTATTTTTTTAAAAGAGTTTAGAGTTTCATTTCATACAAAATTAATTGGTAAAAATACAGGGTGGTGCTTATTTTATGCACAGATGTATATATGTTTCTAATAATGGCATCATGGATTAATATTGAGGTTTACGTGTCTATTTATTGTTGTCAGCAGTAGGTTTACTGGACCGTAGCAACGGACATCAGCGATGACAACATCTTCACCGCCATCAACATCGTCTCAAGGCTAAAAAAGACCACGCATCTGTGGCAGACTTCTTGAATTTTTACACTATTTCAAGTCTCAGTCAGATCATCTCTTCATTACCATGATCCTTATCATTAATGCTTAACCATACCACGTGGTATGCTATCTTGCTTCATGTACATAAGCCAATGGCTCTCTGTCGAGAAGACAATGATCCTACTGCCAAGACACATCTCGAAGACGTGTTCAGTACCAACCAACTTGGCTTTATACCAAGACAGATCTAAACCAAGTCAGCCTGTGATATATGTTACCCCCAAGAGCCTCTTAGTGGCAACATATTTTGTTCAGGGCATTATTTAATAAATATTTTTTAATAGTTATATTTTGTCTCATTTCCAACTTTTGAAACAGGAAGTGTCGTTTGTATGATTCTTTACCGGTAACATTCAGGGTGTGAGATGGGTGTAAAAGGAAGTTAAAAGTGACGTTCAGTGAACAGTTAACCTGCCTTGGCATGTGATTTCTTATGATAGGACAGGACAGGACAGGACAGGACAGGACAGGACAGGATAGGATTAGGATTTGGATTATGAGTATGATTATGACTATTTTTATTGCTTTTGTTTGTTCTAATAAGAGTGTCCTGAAAAGGAGTATGTCATCGACAGTTGTAGCACATATCAAAAAGAATATATTCAACATGAACCTGCCTATGACACAACTTCTAAATATACCGCTGGTGATGACTAGTCGCAACGTGTTCAAAGGTACGGACTTGAAAACGATAACCTGACATTGCGTAATGGTCAATGATGCAATGAAGAACAATGCATGTACACACACTAACTACATTTTGTGTTCGTGACGACCATGAAACCCAATATAACCAGATCGTTCTACCAATCTTTCTATTACGCAATGGTTTTGTGTGGATTCCCCACTGAGCTATTTTTAGACTACAGTCACGTTGATAGGGAAATACGTTAGACAACGACGTCAAATATACCAAATCCTTGCTGTTGGCAGTACTGAAATGGCGACGAGTCTTAAGTTAATAGTCCTAGTCATTTGGAGTTCCACCCCGGGAACATCCTTGATGAAGACATCAGTGACATGTGACCCCGGAATGTACTATGACTTTGCGATCGGGAGATGTGATCTCTGTGACTCTATATGTGACTACGCAGAGATTCAAGGAACTGTACTTGAATGTGCCACGAAGTGTCCAGGTAAGTCAGCATGTCCAGTATATTATTGCCAGATTCTAAGGCTATTTTAAAGTGTTTCACAAACACGTGCTCGTAAGTACAATCGAATCTGCTTTAAACATATACTTCCCAGGACTGTGAAGTAGTTTTGTGAAATAGTTTTCCAAATTTCAGATTTCACATCAGGTTACAAAAAAGCCAAATCAGCGGGTATGTATATTAAAACTTTAAATCAGGAACATCATTATGTACATATGTGTAAACTGTTAAAGCTTTCTTCAAAACAACATTCATATTGGATTTCAAAATAACGATGATTTTATTTGTATTTTAATACATTCTACATTTGTTCATAACAGAATGTTTTTTCATTCAAGGAATTATTTTTAAACGTGAAACACATTCGTCATCATTTAGCACAATATTTACATTGCTGTTACAGATACCTTGTCCAAACAACAAACTGTGAAGGGATTGACAACGACATCAACAACAGCTTCAGGATCGTGTGGGGAGGAGAGAAGGACTATCACGATGTTGTTAATAGCTTTGTGTGGTGTGTCGTTGCTGTTGATATTGATGATGGTTGTCATTATTGTTCTGACGTTCAGACGAGCACGGCAACACCAGACTGGTTACAGTGTTACCAGAACAACAGAACCATTGATACGTAGAGATGGACATGCGCAGTGCACAACCTCAAATGGGCAGACACTGAAACAACCAGGAACTTCAGAATCGAAATCGGTTGCCTCAGAACGACTACCAGTTGCACAATTCCCCATGTCTTCGATATGAAGACGAAGAGTCGTAACTTGTTTTTTTTGTCTTTTGACTGGAGATCGTCATAGCAGAGAGCTTGACTGAAAGCACATGTCTGTCACGGAAGATATGTCATGGGTGACAAAGTCAATCTGCAGGAACGCTTGTACTGACAAGAAATTTTCAGTCCAAAAATAATACGTGACTCGCAATCACTTTTGAGACACTCAAGACCTTTCACGTATCACGTGACTGATAGGATCTGAAAAAGATTTCACTATTGTTTTTAGCACGCTGTATAAAACAGACCAGAGTATGTCGCCATTGTGCATTTACAATGTGAATGTCTGTATGTTTCATGTAGTGTACATAATCGATGTATTTATATCTGAATACAGCAACGATGACACTGACTCAGATACAATTTTATATCATTATGTATACCACTGTCTGAATTGTTTGAAAGACGGATAACAATTATAGTTATGTGTGTTTGATAATCAATGTTGGGCAATCATAATTTTGGAATAAACACATTTTCGCGAACACCTGGTATCATCACTATTTCATAGTGATTCATAATGCTCTGTCCTCGTATCGCATGGTGACACTCACTGGATTGTCTGGTCCAGACTAGATTTGTTTACAAAGAACACTGTAGAGCTATAATACTGCTGAAACAAATATATTACTCATGATATAGTCACAACTGTACAACCAACCAATTTAGTTCTGATGAATGTAGAAAGGGTCAGGGAAGTAACAAGGAATTTGCTCTACACGAGACACACAAATCATATCCACGTCACACCCCTTTATCACAAACATTTTGTGTGTGTGTGTGTGTGTGTGTGTGTGTGTGTGTGTGTGTGTGTGTGTGTGTGTGTGTGTGTGTGTGGACATGAGCAAGTTAAATCTGCACAATGGGTGAGTTCACCGTAGCGTGTGTGAATGAATGGTGTTGAAGTTGACTGGCTTGTTGAATGAATTGATTTGAGTGTTTCTATTTCTGTTGCGAGTATGAATCGATACTTGTGAATGAAGTGGAATTATATTTAATGTGTAGGACTTATATTATAACTTGTCAAGTGGATTGTGGTATGTGTTTGAGTTCACCGTTGCAAGTATGAAGGGATTATTCTGTGAATGAAATGGATTTTAATGAGCGTTGACTATAATGTGTATAAATGAATTAGAATGTGTTGGCATTTACCGTTGTGTGTATGTGAACGGATTGTGATGTGTGTGCCTTGCTTGTAGCGAGTATGGATGGATCGTTATGTGTGTCAAATGGATTGGTGTTATTAAATGAAATGTGTGTGAACGGATTGTGGTGTGTGTGTTTTCTTGATTGTAACGAGTATGGATGGATCGTTATGTGTGTCAAATGGATTGGTGTTATTAAATGAAAAGTGTGTGAAAGGATTATGATGTGTGTGTCTTGTTTGTATAGAGTACGGATGGATCGTTATGTGTGTGTCAAATGGATTGGTATTATTAAATGAAATGTGTGTGAACGGATTGTGGTGTGTGTGTTTTCTTGATTGTAACGAGTATGGATGGATTGTTATGTGTGTGTCAAATGGATTGATATTATTAGAATTGAAAGAAATGTGTGTGAACGGATTGTGATTTGTGTGCCTTGCTTGTAGCAAGTATGGGTGGATCGTTATGTGTGTGTCAAATGGATTGATATCATTAAATGAAATGTGTGTGAACGGATTGTGATGTGAGTGTTTTCTTGACTGGAGCGAGTATGGATGGATTGTTATGAGTCTGTCACATGGGTTATTTGGAATTATTAGACGTAATGTGATGTGTGGGTGCTGGCTGTTGCATATGGATGGACGATGAAATGAGAACTGACTACCGTCTGTATAAATGAGTTGTAATGTGTGGGAGTTGATACTTATGCATGGGAGCTGCTCTGCGTTGGAATGGGTTTTGTTGAATGTGAGCTGACTGTAGCGTACGTGAATGGATTGTGACCACCGAAAGTTGATATGGGGATTGGAATGTGTGATATGTGAGAGATGGCCAGTGCCTTTTTGAATGAATTGTGATTGATGGGAATTAACTGTAGTGAGTAAGTGCGGTTTTACGCCGCTTTACGAATATGTGAATAATATGGATAACATGCAATATGTTGGAGTTGTCTATCTTGTGTGTGAATGTATTATGATGCGTGTGCCTCGTTTGTATATTTACGGATGGATCGTTATGTGTGTGTCAAATGGATTGGTATTATTTAATGAAATGTGTGTGAACGGATTGTGGTGTGTGTGTTTTCTCTTGATTGTAACAGTATGGATGGATTGTTAAGTGTGTGTCAAATGGATTGATATTATTAGAATTGAAAGAAATGTGTGTGAGGATTGTGATTTGTGTGTCTTGCTTGTATGCAACGAGTATGGGTGGATCGTTATGTGTGTGTCAAATGGATTGGTATTATTAAATGAAATGTGTGTGAACGGATTGTGGTGTGTGTGTTTTCTTGATTGTAACGAGTATGGATGGATTGTTAAGTGTGTGTCAAGTGGATTGATATTATTAGAATTGAAAGAAATGTGTGTGAACGGATTGTGATTTGTGTGCCTTGCTTGTAGCAAGTATGGGTGGATCGTTATGTGTGTGTCAAATGGATTGATATCATTAAATGAAATGTGTGTTAACGGATTGTGATGTGAGTGTTTTCTTGACTGGAGCGAGTATGGATGGATTGTTATGAGTCTGTCACATGGGTTATTTGGAATTATTAGACGTAATGTGATGTGTGGGTGCTGGCTGTTGCATATGGATGGACGATGAATGAGAACTGACTACCGTCTGTATAAATGAGTTGTAATGTTTGGGAGTTGATACTTATGCATGGGAGTTGCTCTGCGTTTGAATGGGTTTTGTTGAATGTGAGCTGACTGTTGCGTACGTGAAAGGAAAGTTGATATGGGGATTGGCATGTGTGATATGTGAGAGATGGCCAGTGCCTTTTTGAATGAATTGTGATTGATCGGAATTAACTGTAGTGAGTAAGTGAGGTTTTACGCCGCTTTAAGAATATGTGAATAATATGGATAACATGTAATATGTTGGAGTTGTCTATCTTGTGTGCGAATGTATTATGATGCGTGTTAGTTGACATCTAGTGAATGTGCATGTATTATGATGTTGACTGAAATGAATGTGCTTGTATTATGATGTATGTTAGCTGACTGTAGTGAATGTGCTTGTATTAGGATGTATGTTAGTTGACTGTAGTGGTCGTGAATATATTATGATGTATGTTAGGTGACTGTAGTGAAAGTGAATGTATTATGATGTATGTTAGGTGACTGTAGTGAAAGTGAATGTATTATGATGTATGTACGGTAACTGTAGTGGTTGTGCTTGTATTAGGATGTATGTTAGTTGACTGTAGTGAAAGTGAATGTATTATGATGTATGTTAGGTGACTGTAGTGAAAGTGAATGTATTATGATGTATGTTAGTCGACTGTAGTGAAAGTGAATGTATCATGATGTATGTTAGGTGACTGTAGTCAATGTGCTTGTATTATGATGTATGTACGGTAACTGTAGTGGTTGTGCTTGTATTAGGATGTATGTTGGTGACTGTAGTGAAAGTGAATGTATTATGATGTATGTTAGTCGACTGTAGTGGTTGTGCTTATGTATTATGATGTATGTTAAGGTGATTGTAGTGGTTGTGCTTGTATTAGGATGTATGTTGGTGACTGTAGTGAAAGTGAATGTATTATGATGTATGTTAGTCGACTGTAGTGAAAGTGAATGTATTATGATGTATGTTAGGTGACTGTAGTGAATGTGTTTGTATTAGGATGTATGTTAGGTGACTGTAGTGGTTGTGCTTGTATTAGGATGTATGTTAGGTGACTGTAGTGAATGTGCTTGTATTATGATGTATGTTAGGTGACTGTAGTGACAGTGAATGTATTATGATGTATGTTAGGTGACTGTAGTGAAAGTGAATGTATTATGATGTATGTTAGGTGACTGTAGTGAAATTGAATGTATTATGATGTATGTTAGGTGACTGTAGTGAAAGTGTATGCATTCTGATGTATGTTAGGTGACTGTAGTGGTTGTGCTTGTATTAGGATGTATGTTAGGTGACTGTAGTGAATGTGCTTGTATTAGGATGTATGTTAGGTGACTGTAGTGGTTGTGCTTGTATTAGGATGTATGTTAGGTGACTGTAGTGAATGTGCTTGTATTAGGATGTATGTTAGGTGACTGTAGTGAATGTGCTTGTATTATGATGTATGTTAGGTGACTGTAGTGAATGTGCTTGTATTATGATGTATGTTAGGTGACTGTAGTGGTTGTGCTTGTATTAGGATGTATGTTAGGTGACTGTAGTGAATGTGCTTGTATTAGGATGTATGTTAGGTGACTGTAGTGACAGTGAATGTATTATGATGTATGTTAGGTGACTGTAGTGAAAGTGAATGTATTATGATGTATGTTAGGTGACTGTAGTGAAAGTGAATGTATTATGATGTATGTTAGGTGACTGTAGTGAAAGTGAATGTATTATGATGTATGTTAGGTGACTGTAGTGAAAGTGAATGCATTCTGATGTATGTTAGGTGACTGTAGTGGTTGTGCTTGTATTAGGATGTATGTTAGGTGACTGTAGTGAATGTGCTTGTATTAGGATGTATGTTAGGTGACTGTAGTGGTTGTGCTTGTATTAGGATGTATGTTAGGTGACTGTAGTGAATGTGCTTGTATTAGGATGTATGTTAGGTGACTGTAGTGAAAGTGAATGTATTATGATGTATGTTAGGTGACTGTAGTGAAATGTGCTTGTATTAGGATGTATGTACGGTAACTGTAGTGGTTGTGCTTGTATTAGGATGTATGTTAGGTGACTGTAGTCAATGTGCTTGTATTATGATGTATGTTAGGTGACTGTAGTGACAGTGAATGTATTATGATGTATGTTAGGTGACTGTAGTGAAAGTGAATGTATTATGATGTATGTTAGGTGATTGTAGTGGTTGTGCTTGTATTAGGATGTATGTTAGTTGACTGTAGTGAAAGTGAATGTATTATGATGTATGTTAGTTGACTGTAGTGAAAGTGAATGTATTATGATGTATGTTAGGTGACTGTAGTGAATGTGCTTGTATTAGGATGTATGTTAGGTGACTGTAGTGGTTGTGCTTGTATTAGGATGTATGTTAGGTGACTGTAGTGAATGTGCTTGTATTATGATGTATGTTAGGTGACTGTAGTGACAGTGAATGTATTATGATGTATGTTAGGTGACTGTAGTGAAAGTGAATGTATTATGATGTATGTTAGGTGACTGTAGTGAAAGTGAATGTATTATGATGTATGTTAGGTGACTGTAGTGAAAGTGTATGTATTCTGATGTATGTTAGGTGACTGTAGTGGTTGTGCTTGTATTAGGATGTATGTTAGTTGACTGTAGTGAATGTGCTTGTGTTAGGATGTATGTTAGGTGACTGTACTGGTTGTGCTTGTATTAGGATGTATATTACTGACTGACTGTAGTGAATG